CCCCTCCCCCCCCGCCGACGACAAAACAAGCGTACCTTGAGACGATCTAACGTGTACTGGTCCGCTGCGATGAACAGCTCCACCGCGTCCTCGAGCGACACGTCGACGCTGCCAACGGCGCGACACGACGTGACAGAGCCAGGAAAGGAAAGAGGAAGCGAAAGCACGCACAGACGAGGAGGTCAAAATAGAAGGGCGGTTTACCGTTCCCTCTCGTCTATCTTGTCTCTACCTCACTCTCGCCCTCTCTCACTTTCTCTCTGGCTCGTTGCAAGTTAAGTACAGCACGGACCATGTCTCTCTCTCTCTCTCTCTCTCTCTCTCTCTGCAAGTTCAGCACAGCGGAGAGCATGGATAAACCTTGCAACAGCAATCTTGATTTTCGATTACCGCCCCCAAGACTGGCAGGGCAGGGCAAGGCTGGCTGGCGGCCAAAATAACGATCGAAAAGTGACAACACAGCACATGGCCACACAGACGTTCACAACAGACCACGGTTAATGCTACGGCGAAGAGGACCCACAGCAGAAAAAACACAAAAGAACACGCCCATACACCAGGACGGACCAGCAATCCGACTACTGCTGTACCCGACGAAACTTAGATGACCCAACTCGAATTGGCCAAGTGGCGTATTTGGTTTGTGGACCTGTCGGCGTAGATGTACTCCAGGAGGACCTTGAAGATCGGTAGCCGGACGTGCGGGATAACCACCTCCTGCTCGTGGGTCTCCCGCATACCCGACGTGAACATCGCGCGGAAGTGCTGGCAGCGCGCCGCCAATAGAGCCTTCGCCCCCGGTCGAAACATGGTGGTACACGTCGGGGTTTGCAGGCGGGAGAGGCGTCGGTAGTGAGGGGGAAGGCGTGCCGGTCAAGAGGGGGAACGCAACGCCACAACGAAATAAAACATTAAGAACGGACCAGGGTAGTTTCGCGAACGTTTCGATGCAACCCAAGCGGGCTTGAGGCCGAAACCGGAGTCGCATCGTCATGTACGCCATGCGGTGCGATGGAAGTCGCCGGTGCTCTTCCAGCAAACCAGGAAGCTAACCATCTAGTACGCGTGCACGTGTGCACGCGCGCCCACAAAAAAAAAAAAAGAACACAGCTAGCTCCGTGTTTGCTATCCCCGCCCCCTCCATGCGTTGCCGACGACCTGTACACACCTTGTGCGCGTAAACCGGACTTCCCTCCACAATGAAAGTAACGTCTGAGAGGTCCTGGTTGTCGAGGAGTGATCGGATGTCCGTCATGAACGACGAAGACATGGAACTCAACGCCGGCGTGGACGAGCTCGCTCCCGCCAACGCTGCCGTGTGCTCGTTGTACGACGCCACCTTCAGGTAGGCGTTCAAACGGGCGCGAAACAGGGGGAAATTAACAGTAGCAGCAGCAGCAGCAGCAGCAGCAGCAGCAGCAGGAGGAGGAGGAGGAGGAGGAGGAGGAGGAGACACGTGGTGTACACATGCCAACCCAGCACGCACAACGCGTGGGTGGCGATCGGTGAGGCTCTTCACAGAATATGTGAGGCCACGCGTCTGTTGTTTCTACACGACCTTAGGAATGCGCCGTTGTAAAGGCATGGCTCTGGTACGTGGAGAGCTCCCGTGCCACACAAACGCTCTTGTCTGAGTCCAAAATACGGCGACGAGACTCAAAACCCAAACAAATTCGCGAACGAATACGGCCTTTGATACTGGACCCGACGCAAAGGGAAAACTCAACGCAATCTAGGATAACGCCAACAAAGGGCAGGAGTACGACAGGCAAAGGCACGGAGAACGATTACCAGCGTGCCAGGGTACCCAACTCGTATGAGGAGACGGCAAGGGCAAGACCTAGTGAGGACCAAGGACGCAAAGCACAAACACTTAAATGCAAGAGAGGCGGCCTGACGAACTGCGCCATGGCTCGTTGGCGATACGCATCTTACAAAGACGTAAAACACAGAAAAGTCGTAGAGATACACACAACACGATGACGACTCAGGGGCGCGACTGTGACGAAGGCGTCGCCCGAAGGTGGCGATGATGGAGACGAAGCAGAACGAAGTGTTGGTGACGACGAAAATCCACGTGAGAAGGCGACGCAACGGGATGGAATCCGGAAGCAACAAGCGTATGCAATACTTCTGCGGCACAATGGAGCTTTCTGCCGCACACTTGAGACTAACGGCATTTCATTGGTCAGCCGGGTAGCGCGGTCGATGGAAGTCCAAGAAACACAAAACACAAACACAAACACACACACAGACCTTAACGACGTGCATCTTGACGAGTCCGGCCACGAGGGTAGGCACCGAGACTTTTCTCACATCCCCGTGGCCCAGCTTGCCATGGTCCCCGTTCCCGAAGGTATAAACCTACCGATACGCACGACACAACACAAGACAAGAAACGGTTGGAATAGCAGCAGGAACGCACCCAGAGGGTACACCAAGGTACAAAAAATACAGAAGCCGGCGGTTGCAACAGCGAACACGTAAAAGCAGGTGGAAACAAGATCTCGGGTAAAACACCAAGCAAAGCGGGTGCGCCCCCTGTTCACGACGTCGATAACTGTAACAAAACACAAGCCACTTGCAACGAGAGCCGAAGCACAAAGCACGGCCCTCTTTTCGTTTTTGCCAGACAAGGGCCGAGCGCACGTTGGCCTGCCCAGGGCGAAGAAGCCATGGACCGCAAACAAACAAACAACGTACGGCAAACACGAACACCGCCACGTGACCACGCCCTCCCCCCCTCCCCCCGTCTTGTCACCTTGCCCGTGGCCGTCAGACCGACGGTGTGGCTCCAGCCGCACGTGATCTGCACGAGGGGATGCGAGGCCAGGCCTTCCACCAGGGTAGGCGACGTCTTGTTGACCTTATCTCCGTGTCCGAGCTGAACCCCCCCCCCCCCCCCCCCCC